TTGTTGATTTACAGTATAAGGAGATAAAAAGAGAAGAAGGAGTAAACCAAAAGTAGATGATATTAAAGAAATGACAATAAATTCTGCAAATACTTTTGCCTAACTCATAATATTCAAACTGATTGAAACGTTTTTGCAATACAATGATGTGGCCAATCAACGGAAAAAAAACATTTCCATGAGTTCTTATAACATGTACGATGAGCTAGGCAAAAAAGCATAGCGTAGGGCCCCTAGGCCCTGAGCTTCCAAGCTCTCTCGTTCGATATATTTTGGGGATACACTACGCCGAGAATGGATCGTAGTTTGCAGCGATGCCACGTGTCGAGCCTGTTGCCGAGTGCTGCTGTCAAGGTCCACGGGCCACAGTTGTATAGTAGAACCGGAAGGATAAGAGTGGTAAACATAAGCATTCTAGATAATAAAGTGTGTCTCTTCCAGGCTATAGTGCCAAACGCTCGGTTAGCGGCATTGATACGGTTCTCGATGTCACTTCCAGATCCCAAGAGACTTCCAAGTAATTTCGTCTTTCTCCATGCGTCATCATCCTTGGAAGGAGTTACAAATTGAGTTTTTGTTAGATTTAATCTCAGATCATCCTGGGCGAAAATTGGCTCACATTTCGCTGCAGCGGCCACCACAGCATCACGATCAGTGCCATGTATTGTGGTGTCATCTGCATACTGTGAGAAATGAGTAGGCAGGCATGAAGGGGAGGTGCAGGCTGCTCTCACCTGCCTCATCGCACCTTCTGCGTAGACAATGAACATGGCCGGAGACATCGGGTCCCCCTGAACCACGCCGATATTGGTCGAGAAGGGAGCACTGAGCTGCCCAGCAATCTTCACCCTAACTGTCGTATCGGAGACTAGCAATTTCATCATTGATGTGGGTGCACCCGAATCGGCCATTCGATCGAGCGCCTTGCCACGGTTTACTGTGTCGAATGCACCGCTGAAATCGAGTAATGCTGCCGAATAGTTCCAATTTCCGAGCAAAGCTCTCTCACACAGAGACCGCACACAGAACACCCCATCAGCTGTTGAGCGACCTGGTCTGAAACCGGCTTGTGACTCATCCACAAACTGCTGAATATTGGTGCTAATTCTCTTCGTGATTATGGTTGTAAGGACTTTCCGAACCACTGACAATAGCATTTCTGGTCTGTAACTCTTCGGGGCTCCTTTCCGGGTTTGCCATTTTTGTATATTGGCACAATAATTCCAGTAGTCAGGTCTGCCGGGCAGTGCCAAAGACTGCTATAATTAATATACCACTCTTTGGTCTACAAAGAATACCTTTTTTGATATAAACTTTCTCTTTAAGCCTTCACCTCCTAGTGTAACCTGAATTCCACGTCAAACCTTTCAGGTCCTAGCGGAATTCCCAAATAAACCACTCAATTACTGAATACGTAGAATACTCCAGTATAGAATGATATGAACACTGAAGCTAATGTGACATTACGGTAGTACAATAGCAAGTACGTCATTACTGTTCTAAATACAAACACTGATGATCCTATCCAACCTGACAGCCAATGCAAGAGGTTGCCTATTGATCACAATCATACAGTACCGGCAAAAGGCAAACGCTATCTGTCACTGCGCATTTTCCACTCAACTTCACACAGATGCAAACCACCAGACTCAGTCACTGGCAGTGCCGGCCACCAGCCAGGTGAATGTCTTGGCACATAATCACGGTGTGCTGTCGCAGTCCAGCACAGTACACAGTAATCCACAGACAACTACCGATATTATTAAAGATGATGTCACACACATGCATGCATACACGCACACACAAACCGGTTGCCGACTACTACCAGTACTACTACTAGTACATGCCGAATCCGACTATGCAGTCTCCTAGGCACGTGCACACACAAACACACGAACCAGCTGCCGAATCCGACTATGCAGTCTCCTAGGCACGCGCGTACGTGCACACACAAACACACGAACCAGCTGCCGAATCCGACTATGCAGTCTCCCAAAGAAATCGGTCCTTGTCGTCAAGGAAAGGTGTTACCAGGAGGCGACTGAATTGTTTCGAGACACTGGTGTAATGATAACGGACGAGGGATCACGATATCTTGGCGCAGCAATCGGAAGGGACAGTTTTCTTCAAAGCTATATCAAAACAAAGGTGGACGAATGGATGGGGGAACTGAAGAAGCTAGCAGTATTTGCACAAACCCAGCCGCAGGCTGCGTATTCTGCGTATGTGACGGGCCTCAGGGGTAGATGGGCGTTCCTCTGTCGTACCATGAACGTACCCGAACCCATGTTCCAACCGCTGGAGGACATTGTGAAGTCTGAACTGATTCCCGCCTTAACTTGCCGTGCACCCCCAGGCGACACCCTCCGAAGGCTTATGGCTTTGCCGTGTCGTCTGGGTGGGCTCGGTTTGATTAACCCTGTGTCCCTATGCCAACAATACGACTCGTCGGTTCGGATGACCAACCCTTTGTCTCGGAGAATCTTGTCAGGGGATGGCTCCATCGGTGACTCGGTAGTGTTAATCAGATCGGCCAAGAGAGACGCCAAGGCATCTTCTCGACGTCATCAGAAACTGGAATTCGACGAGATATCGGGCAGTGCATCGGAGTCGCTACGACATGTCATAGACGTCGCGAAGGAGAAAGGGTCGTCGAGCTGGCTGACGTGCCGTCCACTTAAGAAATATCATTTTAATTTAACAAAGGGAGAGTTTTGGGACGGACTCTGCCTCTGTTACGGATGGACACCGGCCAGGGTACCGTCACACTGCTCTTGCGGCCAAGAGGCAACTGTCGCGCATTCCCTGTCGTGCCCCTATGGAGGGTTTCCCTCCATTAGACACAATGGTATTCGGGACGTCACGGCCCGGCTGCTGGACGAGGTAAGGTGTGCACCAGTGTGTCCATCGAGCCCTTGCTGCAACCGCTGACGGGGGAGCGTCTTCGCTACCGGACCGCAAATGTGGAAGACCGTGCCCGGTTGGATGTCGCTGCCAATGGTTTGTGGGGCAGTCGTTTTGAGCGTACACTTATTGATATACGGGTTTTTAATCCTCACTCACGCTCAAATCGATCTGCACCACATACTATTGTGTATCAGCGACATGAAAAAGAAAAGAGAAGGCACTATGAGGAGCGGGTGAGGCAGGTTGAGCAAGCCTCCTTTGTTCCGGCGGTCATGTCAGCCAGTGGCGGAATGGGTCCAGCATCAACAGCACTGTATAAACGAATTGCTAATCTGTTGGCGGAGAAGAGGGGTGAGCATTACTCTCATGTAATGGCATTTGTTAGATGCAGGATTTCCTTCAGCCTTCTGAAATCCTGTATCATGTGCATTCGCGGTTGTAGGCGTTTAAATTTTGGTTTGAAATTTGCACCCTCCTGCGGAGCCCACGCTGCTTTGGCAGTGGCGGAGGCTCGCCTGCCGACGTAACCGTCGGAGATCATCATGAACAATGGACTGACTAATTATTCACTTGTCCTGTCTTTATAAATAACATGTTAGGCCAAACTAAAGAAGGTGTGTGGTTCGACTCACCCGACCGACCGTACAATTTCAGCCCGACCGTAACTTTTTTTCGGCGGGCTGTCGTGTGACTGACGTACGTGGACTGAACACGTCCACGTCTACGTGCTGTGCGGCGTGAGTCTGCGGACGCAGGCGGCTCCTTTTGGACTTGACTTGTAGTTGTACTGCAGTGCAGTGCAGTGAGTGGTACGACTGCTGCCTTGTGCTGGTAGTAGAGTCTACTCGATACGCGTATACAGTGTATTTACATGTACTAAAAAATATATTAAAAAAAAAAAAATCCGCCCGCCCGCCCGTAAAAAAAATGTCCATGTTAGTCGAACCACACACCTTCTTTAGTTTGGCCTTATTGCATATGTTAAAAAAAAGAATATGCACTATGCAGTCTCCTAGGCACGCGCGCACGTGCACACACAAACACACGAACCAGTTGCCGAATCCGACTATACAGTCTCCTAGGCACGCGCGCACACAAACACACAAACACACGAACCAGCTGCCGAATCCGACTGAGCAGTCTCCTAGGCACGCGCGCATGTGCACACACAAACCAGATGCCGAATCTGACTATGCAGTCTCCTAGGCACACGCGCACACAAACACACGAACCAGCTGCCGAATCCGACTATGCAGTCTCCTAGGCACGCGCGCACGTGCACACACAAACACACGAACCAGCTGCCAAATCCGACTATGCAGTCTCCTAGGCAAACGCGCACGTGCACACACAAACACACGAACCAGCTGCCGAATCCGGCTATGCAGTCTCCTAGGCACGCGCGCACGTGCACACGCAAACACACGAACCAGCTGCCGGATCCGACTATGCGGTCTCCTAGGCACGTGCACACTCAAACACACGAACCAGCTGCTGAATCCGACTATGCAGTCTCCTAGGCACGTGTGCACGTACACACACAAACACACGAACCAGCTGCCGAATCCGACTATGCAGTCTCCTAGGCACGCGCGCACGTGTACACGCAAACACACGAACCAGCTGCCGGATCCGACTATGCAGTCTCCTAGGCACGTGCGCACGTGCACACTCAAACACACGAACCAGCTGCTGAATCCGACTATGCAGTCTCCTAGGCAGGCGTGCAGGTGCACACACAAACACACGAACCAGCTGCCGAATCCGACTATGCAGTCTCCTAGGCACGCGCGCACGTGTACACGCAAACACACGAACCAGCTGCCGGATCCGACTATGCAGTCTCCTAGGCACGTGCGCACGTGCACACTCAAACACACGAACCAGCTGCTGAATCCGACTATGCAGTCTCCTAGGCAGGCGTGCACGTGCACACACAAACACACGAACCAGCTGCTGAATCCGACTATGCAGTCTCCTAGGCAGGCGTGCACGTGCACACACAAACACACGAACCAGCTGCTGAATCCGACTATGCAGTCTCCTAGGCACGCGCACACGTACACACACAAACACACGAACCAGCTGCCGAATCCGACTATGCATGACACTGTCACATTGAATTGAAAATGAAATTCTGAAAGGTACAATAGCCATGTATCTATGCGCTGTCCACACCAGTCTAGAAGAATAAATGGAAGATTTTCTGAACAAAACGTTTTCGTTCCCTTCTCACCAGGGAGTCGTCAAATACCGGGAGTGGAAACGCCGTTAATCTTGATTATCCATGCTCGCCTCGCGCAAAATTTTTGCAGTGCCTTGAGTACCTCAGCGTCGTCAAATGCAATTTAGAGTAGCCTTGAGTATTTTTTGGGAGAAAGCGTCCATCAGAACGTGTATACAGAGATATTTGCAGTGGTCTGCTCGTTTGATAGTAGGAGGACACCTAATTTATCGGTAGGCGTTATCGCAGTGTTGCGATGTTTGACTGGAGGCCCGATTCACGCGCGAATAGTGACGTGACTTTTGATGTAATTTATCGAGGAAAATAGCTCAGCCTCAGTAATCAAAGCCACTTGGTTCGACCCACGAAAAAACTTCTCGTAACCATTGTCCTTTCCATATAGGTGCTACCTGTGAATTTTCTCGGTGTAAGATGATATGCCACTGACTTTTTGAGGGACCCTTCGTTTCTAAAACATTATCGTTTTTTAATGACGACCACATTATTATAAAGTCAAGGAATTTCTCTTATTTTCTTCTTCAGTGTAAGAGAACATCACCGCTTTCAGTATGTCTCATGTCAAGAGGAAGCATGACAACGTATATGCACCACCAACACTGAGAATCCAATTGCAGATTTGGCCGGTTGTGGCGAGTATCACGGAATTGACAATGCACACCGAATTAAACTGTTCTAAATCCCTCTCTCTTTCTGTCTCGCTTCTCTTTGCCTACTTTGGGTGTCAGCAGTTACGCATGTGTACATGCACGCACCAATATACGGGTGCGCACGCACTCATTGGCATGCACAAACTGCACATGCACACACACGGCATGCACGAACTGCGCATGCACGCACATTCACACACACTGGAATGCATGCATGCATGCACACACACACCGGGTCCTGGTAAACACTGCCATTACGGTCACCTGTCCCCTTGCGGGGCCAACAACATGGAAGCGACGGCAGAAAGTCGGCAGTCTGCCAAGAGATCAGGGACCATATTCAATCGGCACGACGAGAGAGCCATCTTTGGCAGCACACACACACATACACACACACACACACACACACACACACACACACACACACACACACACACACACACACACACACATACTGACATGCCCACACTGTGCATGCACACACACGGTGGATGCGCTCATGTGTCTCAGATTCAATTATCTTTTCAAAGTTTGGTAGATTCGGAGACATGTTGGCCAGAATTTCATGGCCGAAAGTCGCCAACACCGGCTTGAGGCTAGTTAACTCAGGCTTTCTGCTAGCTCCCAGTTCTCTTCTCACCGCAACAACACACCAACCACCATGGTATCTTTTAGGTGTCTCTGCAGTGCAGTTGACTATGGCGGTGGGCTGGGGTGCTGCTGCTGTTGCTGCTGCGGATGATGCTGGCATGATGGACGGCTTTCTTGCCACTAATGTACCGCAAATTAAACTTGAAAACACAGCTGATGTGGTGTCCAGGTCTGGACAAAACGCACACGGAAAACAGCGCAGTATTTCTATATTAAGATTGTCACAAGTATCCATCCAGGTAGAGAATGCCATGTGTATCCTGATTCCTGACCATCACATAGTTTCTTAAATCTACCATTGCATTTCTTTTTACGAGTTTCACATAAAGTGGATGGCCCTTGCAACAGAAGCTTCCCTGGGTCTATACTTGACTGCAGGTTGATAAATCGAATGCTCTGTACATGCAGCATGCGTGTGTAACAAACCAAAACAAAGCTATTCCGTGATAGAAGTATTCACTCGATAAAGCTTGGTTTTACTCACCTCTCGCCCAAGTTCCTAAAACATCAGCCGTAAAATGGCTACCGATATCTCCCTATCCAGCATGACCATGCACTGCCGACGAATCTACGACGAAGAGTGATAATACTACAAAAGGGAAGCGGAAATCTGACGAGAAGGTTTATTTATGGAGACGTCTAAATTGCTCCGCTTGCAGGAAGAACCAAAATAAATTTTGTTATTTTGAAAATCCCGCGGAATTGGTGAATGTGGCACAAAAAAGATTATTTGAAAAAAATCGGCGTGCTCCAGCGCGAGGCGAGCATGGATCACGCTCGCGCATCTCGTTTCCACTCCCGGTATTTGACGACTCCCTGCTTCTCACCATGGGCTCATACAGGGTAGAGTAACCTAGAGTATTACATCAGCTGCTGGAATGAGTTTGTATATCTATAAGTGACTGGAATGTAGAAATAAAGAGTAACTTGAAATATATCTCTAAAAATATTCAAACCTCCTCGGCCAAATGAGGTTGAGGACTCCGGCCTAGTGAAAATATTCCAATATTATGTATTCATAAAATTCTAAAGAAATATTTCATGTATCTGCATGACTATAAGTAGTAATTCTGCAACGGGCATAGTAACCTGGTGTGGTCCTCTACAATTAGCTGTCTCTACTGTCTAACATACTAGACTATTTCATTTACGTATATTTAGTGGGGTGGTGATCAAGAATAACATAATGTTGCTAAAAATTGGCAGATATGACCAAGGAAGAATGGAGGAATGGATTTGATGGATAACTGCAGTGTAGAGACCACCAGAAGAGAGAGAGAGAGAGAGAGAGAGGAGAGAGAGAGAGAGAGAGAGAGAGAGAGAGAGAGAGAGAGAGAGAGAGAGAGAGAGAGAGAGAGAGAAAGAGAGAGAGAGAGAGAGAGAGAGAGAGAGAGAAGAGAGAGAGAGAGAGAGAGAGATACAGAGAGAGAGAGAGAGAGAGAGAGAGAGAGAGAGAGAGAGAGAGAGAGAGAGAGAGAGAGAGAGAGAGAGAGAGAAAGAGATACAGAGAGAGAGAGAGAAAGAGAGAGAGAAAGAGAGAGAGAGAGAGAGAGAGAGAGAGAGAGAGAGAGAGAGAGAGAGAGAGAGAGAGAACAGTACCAGCACTTGCTGCGTGAATTTCTTGACACCTCAATCTGTGATGGAGCAAACAGAGAATACCGCACAGCCACGAAGACGATCACATAATAGAATACACCGGAGCCAAAATAGATTGGATGCATGCACACACACACACACACACACACACACACACACACACACACACACACACACACACACACACACACACACACAAACACACACACACAAACACCTAAATCCACACTCATGCACACAATTTTAAATAGTTTCAGTTTTAAGGTGCGGCTAACACTCCACAAACTATGGTACATATCAGTATAATATGTAGTCGGATGGAGAGGCAAGGATTATTTATAAAAAGTAAAAAAGATCAAGGAACTACAAGTTACAGGCTATTCGTACTGCATTACCATGGTTACAATACACGTCACGTTTAGGAATACGACGTACTGGCAGACGTCGTTTTCATGCAGGTGCATTCACACAGGCACGCACACGCTACTCGTACAGCTGTGTGTACAGCTTCTTTTGGACACAAACTGCTGGGAACGACAGACCGAAACTCGGTACAGGGATCTGGATACGTCGTCTACGTTTTCGTATCAGGAGGACGATTTTCCCGCCACGTTTCGTGTTGTCATGGCTGTCCGAACGAAAACGTCACGTTTTGGGCGTAGCGTGAATGGCCCATTACACTATAATGTCCACTTACACCACCAGTTACTAAGTTAAAATCAGCTCATGCACGTGACTGTCAAGAGCTCTCAGTTCCTGGTGTTGGAAAGCGCGCGGGAAACAGCACATGCTCCATGCATAACATAACACGATGTACTACTACTACTACTACATGCATCATGAATGTCTGGAGTGGTCAAGGAATACCAAAGCGCGCAGGTACACGTGAACACTACACCCTTCAAAAGAGTAATGCGAGCGTTATGCGTTATGTGAGCGTTTATTTCAAGTGGACTGATCACAGGATGTTAAAGCCATGACGGCAAGGGCATCTAGCTGCCTAATTCACACCACATCTTAGACATGTGTTTTCCATCTGATGCAGGGCCGCAGCAACCAGTTTGGTCGGTCCGGCCACGACCGAAACCACATCATATTTTCTGTTCCTTTCCGGTCAAGTATCCCATTCGGCCGGACCAGCTGAAATCCCGGGTGTTACACCCCGTGATATGAACCGTATGGCTTACCTGTCGAAACATGATGAATGTCCAGTGGTTCCAGTTTAGCTAAAATCTCTTTGACACGTGTGTACGTCTCTGACTCTCTTATACAACTGAGAAACCTGTGGAACGAATCTGCATCTCCACCTCTCAGCTCATCCAGGAGTCTTTCGTTGTGATCGTTCGGGTCACGAATCGAAGCCAAGCTTCTCTTGAATCGAGGCGTGATGATTTCGTAAGCGTCACAGCGCGTCCGTAGTCCAGAAGGATCGAGGGTTTCTATTAAGGTCGGAAGCATGCGCCTGAACTCTGACATCTTCCACGGATTCTTCATCTTGCGGGTAGCGAACTGCAGACATACACCATGATGGAAGCAGAGAGTGAGAAATAAAAACGACATATCCCTTTTGCCCGTAACCAGGAACTTTCAGCCGAAATGAACAGGTCAAAGTTGCAAGTCGCATATCTGACATTCAGTCAGCCGGCGAGGCTGTTATGCAACAGCGCTTTGACAGCTCATGCACTGTACATATTTGTTTGTTGTAGCACTATTATATAGTGCTACAACAAACAAGCGTGAACAGGGAGCATTATGAACGTTGCCTGGATACGAATGTTAAATACAACTCCGGCTACGTATGTTTTGATCTATTGGCACGAAGCATGAAAATCTAGTTGAAAAAGAATAATTATTGTTCTGCCTTCTTTGTTTACCAGTGAATAAGAATGATGACTGCCCCGGGAACGTAATAGATTTTGAGGATCAAGAAATACAGGTAGAATTGTGCTTTGCCGTCATTTTGATGTGTAAACACAAGTTGGCTCTGCAGCTTCAGTTACTAAGTTCGTATCCAGAACATTCATTTTTCCAACAGCTTCCGATCCCGAGGAACACCCAACAGTAAAGATTAGTGTTTAAACCGAACACGGATTCTTCGAACGAATAATCTATCGAACAATTTCGCCCTCCATCGAACGAATAATCTATATTCTATCGTACGCATGATGGCATTTTTCAACACTTTTTCAGCACTTTTTAAGTAGTTTTTAAATTTTTTTTGCTGATTATCGGGTTTTGTTATGTGGAGGTGCAAAACCGGATAACATGTACCGTGAAGAGTACATAACCCCCGCCCCCCCCCAGAGTGTGCAACGCCTGATCCAGCTCTGCATATCGCATAGGGTCTTGGTCGAGCGTAATTGGATCTTCACTGCATCCATGTTTCCCTCGTTTGGAAAGAACAGAAGTATTACTAGATACCGATAGGAGATTAAACTTGGAGGAGAGGAGATTGAGAAGAAATACTGCGAGCAGATCTACGCAGTGCAAATATCAGTAGGTCAGCACTGAGCATAGATTTTTTTTTTTTTTTCGATTTCTGATAATTCCTACGACTATTCGATTATTCGTTCACCCCACGAATATTCTAAATTATTCGATTATTTGATTATTCGTTTCAACACTAGTAAAGATTATCTTATTTTCGATATTCTTCGCAATAGCCCACGCATCAGGTACCATAGAAATAAAACGAAACATGTTTTTCTATTCCTCTTTTACTGGACAAATGAAATTGGATGATAAATATGGTGGTAAAGACACACCTGGCAATTGGAATCAGTAAAAAATGAATAAACCATAAACTCGCGGGATACAAACGCAAGTCCAGCTACTAGAATTTTTTAAACGTGCAATATACTAGGAGTGCCACTTTGCATTTGAGCCGTGCAATGAATACGTCTGCAACCATTCGCATCCACTGCATGGGATAATTTAACTTCCCTTTTAAGTACTCGTAATTCCCCCAAAAGATGTCGGTATGGCGTATACTACCATGGTGAAATGAACCGTGATATACAGGAGAGATTTTTGCTTTTCGTGACAAACATCTTCCTAAGGGTGCGTGACAAATATGACAGGACAAAGACGAACCCAGAGGCGGCAAGGTGAACAAGGAACCCATGGCACTGAGAGTTCGAGGATTTTCTGGTTTTCGACCTTGCAGTATTATTGGAGCATACCAGGGGATTTCCTTTTGGCACAGGGAATGCGTAATGGCCATCAAAAGATGTGCCTGCGTCTCAGCTTTCCAGTGCACTTAGAATCGTGAAAATCGGTTGGGTTTGAGCAAGAAGTTGAAAAAGAATGCTAGATTGAGTTGTTGTGGCGTTTCCAAGGCATGATAGGAGAGTTTGGAAAGGACATGGAAATGGCCCTGATGTGCCTATCGAGCTGAGAGTTGTCAGGATGGATTTGTTTGAAATTGTGACATGCATTATACAGTATGACAGGATATACAGGCAAGAGCTGTATAGGCTGAATTTTAATGGGGCCGAAAAGGATTTTGGCCTGCGGATGCTGAAATTTAAAACGTGCTGATAATTTGTAGACTTACAGTATCCAGTGTCCAGTATCACAGTAGTAGATATCAAACTCAACTCACTTACTAAAGCCACAAGTCGCCAAGATACTCAAGACAAGATGCAAACTGGAATAATTCACTGCAGCTGGTTGTCGTCGCAGTGATTTCCAAGTGTCCATTGTACACAGCACGTTCAGCATAGTGCTTGCATATAGCTCCAGCTCTGGCAACAGAGCGACAGGCGAAGCCCTATCCATTTATCAGCTGGGCCGTGTGGATACGACTTTGCGTTTAACATGGGAGTGGCCACATTTTCCCCTGTTACTAGTGGAGCAGTTATGCCGCGCCCATCATCATCATCCTAACCCCAGTTGTCGTTCAGGACCGTACATGTTCGTCGTATCTGTGTTGAAAGAGCAGCGGTTGTTACTGCTGGGCAGACGAGATGGCCCATCCGCTACGCGGGCCATACCGCATGGGAATCATTGTAATGTCACGGTTCGCGAGTTGCGCAGATGTTGTGCTTGGCAATTTGGCCAAAACAGTTCGTTAGAAATCGTGGCCACTGGTATCAGAAATCTCGGGGGTAGTTCCGAATTCACCCCGCGTCTCAAGAGCAGACTTGATAGCGTAGCTGATCATCCGGAAGACCATTTATTAGTCGGGATGGTACTTGTTCATCGGATCACTGTTGGCAGAGCAGCTGTTGCTACCGCTCAGGGGACGAGACGCCCCAGCTGCCGCGCGGGCGTGCCATGGGGAACATTCGACATACCAGGTAACCAACGGAGAGCAGTTTTCAATGCCTCCGAATTCTGACTACCGACTACAAGGTGCATTGGTGCACCCAGCCCTGCAGGTTCTGACACCACCGTCGCCTGTGGGTGACATCGAATAGCGGCAGCAAATTGCTTTCTGTTGATATGGTTGGTCATTACTCACTACCTACCCTTGCCCCGCCGGGGGCAAATCATGGTTGCCGGGTGCACGCACGCATTCATGCCGACGTATCTGTGCCTGCCATGCTATACTTTCTGTCCGGAATATGTTGAACAAAAAATGCCTGCGTGCCCCTTTTGACGCCCGATCAGTACATTACGGCTTGTGCTTCTATTTGTTCCGCACTCACCACCGGCCTATGAACTCGCTGGTCGACGCTTTGTTCTGGAGTCTAGTTTTGTTTGCATTGAACACCTCATTAACAATTCATTCGCGCGGCGGCCGCCTGCGTCAACTCTATGGCTCACTGGCCGAGAGTGAGATGGCACCTCGGTGTGGTGATAAGACGTGGTATATCTTGACGCTGTGCACATAACATTGCCTGGCCAGGACTACCAGTATGCTGGCTGATAGCGTGGGCAACCCACCCTGTCCTGGATTGACCATCAGTCTGCTACCGTCGCCTCGTTCGGTTTTACCTGGGCCCTTCTCTTTTTGGGGAAACTTGGCCAACAAAGGCAATGTGCTCAAAGGCTCGCTGACAATGATGTGCAAGTTTGCGTCAACAACCATCACGCGTCCCACCAAGATAAATCGGACAGGAGGAAAGTGCTCTATGGCTTGGATAACCAGCTTGCACGTGAAAACGCACCAGATGCGATCCGGAGGCGCATTATGCATGGCTCAGCGCCGGGCAGGCTAGTAGCCAATAGAATGAGCTAACTTGGAACTGATGGCCAACGTTTGCGCTCTCCCAGCCCAGTATCAATGTTAGTGATTGGTATGTGGGCCCACGCCAGCATCTTAGAGCAGTGTGAGTGCGTAGTCCGCAGGTATGGCAGTGGTGAGGATATGGACGTGTGCTGCGTGCTGTACATATGTGGATGTGCACGTGGCAGGCGCGTATGCTATCGAGTCAAGTGATGGATGAGGTGCAGAAGTGCGGGTGGTGAGAGTTTGTGGCTACTGCTAGAGTGGCTAAGGCGAAAGCAGCCATCAGGGCTGGGCAAGATGGCCTGTTTGCTGGTACGGTATGTGCTTTTCTAGGCCGACAAACTGTATGCGGTGTTGGCGACGATCGGGCCAGTAAGTGGGCTCACACGAGCAGCTTGTGGTGGTCTACGGCCGTATATTCACTGTCACATGAATGCGAGGCGGTCGAGAGAACGCTGGTGCGTGCTTATGAACGTGTGTGTGTGGTGGTGTGTGTCATCATGTTTTGGCTGCTCACTGACAACAGGTACTGGTACATCCGCGTCGGGCGGAATGTCAGTTCGTTCCGAACTAGACTGGCAACGACTTGATCATCCCCACTGTTTCCTGTTGGAACAGGAATTGCGCCGTCGCAAGAACGCTTTGCAAAAATCCATCAAGGCTCTGCTGGCCAGAGCTTGTCTTCTTTGGTCCATGGATGTCGCTGAGACTTCGCAGAAAAGTCTTCAAGTCAACCAATTCGCGATTCGAATCTGGAGGGGATCATCCTGAACACATTGTTGTACACCGTTCGCGAAAAGAGGCGCTTGACGATCACAAGCTTTGTTTTTGTCCCACTTGGGCAGCGTTGCGTTCAGCAACCAATGCCGCTCACACACCGACGGTCCGTGCAACCGGTTTTGGACGCTGCTTCCCACCACGTAGAGTCTACCGCCTGTGCACATGGTGCATGTAGCAGCCTGGTGTTTTTTCAAACCCAGGTCAAAATGTTTTCAGGGGGGGGGAGAGCGTGCCCCCCCCCCCCCCCCCCCCTTATACCCCCGCCATGTGATAGGGACCATTAGCAAGCCGTGAAACTGCAACGCGAAGGGGGAGCTGGGTTAGAGTCCCGTCCTGACCACGCGAAACATACTCGTGTTTGACGAGTTTGGAGGGGTCTACTCGCCATGACCGCAACAAGTGGGTTTTAGTCAAGTACGTGCGAATTCAACCATGATACGGAGAATAGCACCGTAAATCGCGCCTCGTTTGGTCTTTGCGATTTTCTTCAAATTTCGAAAAATGTCTCACCCATTCTTGTTGGAATAAATACGATGGCGAAACGTACCAAACAACCAGTAGGATCATTGATTTTGGCATAACCGTTACTAACATGACACAGAACAGGATCGAGGGTAACCACAGTGCCAACATTTATGCTTGTTCAAGACAAACTTCAGCTTGCTCGCTCATTTATGTTTTGGCATGGACCTCGTGAACACAACCCTTTGCTGCACCCATCCATCGGCGATGTGGCTGTCATGGGGTTTCTTTCACTTTCATTCGGGTAAAAGTCAGTCAGGCTGAGAATTGTTATCAAGGAAAAGTTCGCAAAAACTAATAGCCAGTAAAAATATCAGAAAACTGTTTGAAACTGGAAAGCAGCCGACTCACGTAGACAGGTTGTGCACGCGAGAAGCTAATTCTCAATCACGCCGTGTTTCACGTGCGTTACGATGAACTCCTTACCCCCATTGACGTTTCACGGCTTGCTAATGGTCCCTAATAGTTCACCCAGC